ATTCTTAAACAATCTTTTCCAACCTCCGGCGGGACCAAGACAGCATCCTTCCACTGCAAACATATTTCTCACATCTATTAGTCTTCCAGTGTAGCACAGTTTTTAAATGTCACGTGGTCTTGCAGCATCCTAATAGTATCTCTTGGGGAAAATATTTTCCCTGACAGCATATCAAGGATCTTTAGGAGTAGAAACAGAAAAACAATAGATTGGTGATCCACTTCCATCTGTAGATTGCCAGCAGCTGCAAGTTGTCAGATAAATATATTGATTTAATTAGTCTAGCTAAAACAATCGTCTTCTCTGTTGAAGCGTGATACAATGAGTTTGCAGTGGTTTTTAGGTACCGCACAGCGCAATTCCCAGCAACCACCTGTAACTGTAGTCAGAAAAGAGCATTCAAGTAGTAGCTTTCCAGGTAGGACTGTATGCTTGTATTATGCAGCATTTGCACCAATCTCAAATGCTGAGTATCACAAAGACCGGTCTCCATATCCTTGTTAAGCAAGTAGTTATACTGTATGTGCTAGAGAGGATTAACAGGGTAGGAGCTGGGAAACGGGATAGCTGTGTATATGTGAAACTGATGTTTTTTTGTCTGTGCCCTTATCTCTGAAAAAAGGGAGCTGTACTTCCAGCATAGCTTGTCAGTTCTCTGAAGCTTCAAAAGGGGCTGTGGGGCGCTCCCTCGGGGCTTTTTAGTTGATGGTTGTTAGTGAGGAGAGGAAAGATGCCATCAAAATCTTTCTAGCTTACGAGAAGGAGCATAGAGGCAGGACTTTCTGACAGAAGTTCAGATTCCACCTAGGACGCTTAGAGTTGTTTTGGAGCTAGACTGCTCCTTTCTATTTATTTTACTACTTGCATAGTACAGATCAGAGAACTTTGGTAGGTATTTCCAGCATCAAATCCATCACTTCTGTTTGAGCTGTAACGTGTCTTTTAGAAAGATGTCCGGTATTGATTTAATACTTCAAATGATGGAAACTTTACCACATTCCTTGGTAAGCTGTTTCAGTGGTTAATCATCCTGACTCTTAAAAAATGTGTCTGCCTTTCAGGCAGAGTTTGACTCATCACAGAATTCCAGTTGGATATTATTATGACACTTTTTGATAGCTCAAAGAATTCACCTGGACTCTGAAGAAAAGGATTAAATCACCTCTCTGTTATCTTCTTTTTAGATTAAAACGTTAAGAATTGCAACTCTGTCTCGCTTTTCTTCTCTAAGGTGCATTTTCTCGTCTCTATTTTCTTAGCTGTTTTTCAAACTTTTTCAAAATTTTTAGCATCCTTTAAAGGTAAGGTTTTGCAGTAATCATGTCACTAATTCTGAATGCAAAAGTCATATTCTCTGTTTATCCTTGCCTGTTATTCAGTCATTTCTGCATTCTGAGATTATATTTGCCCTTCGTTCTGTAGGAACTCATTAGTAACTCCTGTTTGGTTAGCTACCAACTTTCCCTGTCTTCCACGATGTATTCCTTTATTTTGTCATCACTGGCTATTTCTTTTGTTCCTGAATGTATGGTCTGGCATTTGGCTATATCTTAATGCATACGGTTAGACTAACTGTGCATTACATAGTGATTCAGACTTGTGTGTATGACTCATCTGTCTCCCTTGTTTACAGCTCCTCTATCATTATGGCAGTAAGTACCTGGACTTGTCCGTAGAGTAACTGGAAAAAATTGGCCAAAGCTGCCTATTTGACTTGGGTATACTCTTTCATCGCAGGTCTAATCACAGACCACGTGTCCTTTGCGGGCCTCAGATTAGAATCAACCAAATAACGCTGCGTTATTTGATGTTGACAAGGGTAACTATGCTTGGAAGTCGGCGTAATCTGAAAGGTCATAATCCAGGTTCTGAAGACAACCTGTGATAGGGAGATACCTTAAAACTTCCTTTATTAGATGAAAAGTGTATCTGGCATAGGTAAGACTATTGCATTTACTTCATGCAGCTCAGAAACCTCTGTAAAATAGATTTGTGATATTTATTTATTTATTTTGTAGCGTGGCAGGCAACAGGGGGCACCATTTTGTGCTCTGGACATCAGTTGCATAGAGTTGTCTCCCATCACGCATTTTAAAATTTGAACGCTGAGGAGTATGATGGTTATGATGAGCAAAGACTGTGCTCCTTGAGGAGCATGTGTATGTTCACTCCAGTTGGAATCAGTGGGAACAGTGGCCATCTTTTCCAAAGGTTATGGAAAAAGGTAAATGCAAAAAATTTCCCCTCCCAAAGGAGTCTAATTCATGCTAAATTTAGATACTGGTTTTTTTTAGGCATATGCTGCATTATGATTTGATAGTGACTTGCTTTGATTTTTACCGAATCTATCCATAGCTTTTTTTACTACGCATGGGTAATTTTGTGCGCTGTATACCAAATGAACAATTTTAAAGGCGATTGTACAAAGTTCACAATCAGAAATCTAATTTAGGTGTCTTCTCATTACATTTCCAGGATTTCTAGCCCCAGAAGGGTTTACAGACTCAGGGGCATCATTGCATTTGTGTACACGCATTGCTTGCAGACCAGAGCTACGCCTATAATGTAGCTACGTTAGCGGTATACGGGCTTCATGCAGCCTAATAGTCCCGCATATAATAGTCCCACAGTTTGGGAGTTACACGTTGGATTAAAGTAGGATTATTGTGCTTGCTTGTAGCTTTATGCTAATATTGAATTTTAATCTGAGTACTGGAATTAATATGCTGTGTTAGGTCAGCTCACAGGTTCCTCCAGCCCCAATGAAACCTTTTTCAATGGGCAGTAACAGACGCTCCTAGGAAGGAGCATAGGAGTAAAGCATGTATTGAGTGATGTTTCTGCCAGTGTAGAGGCTTCTTGAACTGGAATATTTTTTTTTTTAAGTGAACCTTTGAACCCTTCCCCCTGCCCCCACCCCGAAGTTCCAAAGACTTTTTGAACCTGTTCAGGCTTTGAACCTGTTCATAGCTTTCAGCACGAACAGTACTTTCCTGCAGTGAGTACCAAACTATATTGCGCATTGTGTGAAACGACACTACCTCTTACGTTACCCTTCGTTCGATTAAAACCAAGTTGTTGATTTGATTGCGTGAGTTGTGAAAGTAAATAGTTGTTCCCTGTTCAGCTTTTCCTTAACGTTTGTGATTTTGTAGCTCAGTGACACCCCCTCCATTTTTCTGTATTTCAGGCTTTCTCCTTTTGTGTTTAGCTTTTCCACATGAGGAAACTGTTCTGCACCTTATTTATTCATATTCTTTGTCTATAGCTTTTGCTGTTTCTGCTTGAGTGGAGGGAGGGGAGGTTGTTCAAGAACTGAACCACCATGTCTTCCTTAGCCCTTTTCTGGTAGTTCTAAGTACTCTGTGGACCTTTTTTGTTCTCTGCTGATCTGATATTCTTAAAACTTGTCCACAGGGACTAGAACTCTTATTGAGTGGTGGTAGTTACACTGAAGTGTAATAATTTGTATGTATACTTAGGAATATTTCTTATGTGCATTATTTTGCCTTTATCAGAACTAATTTTCTTCTGTCATTTTATCTCCCAGTCACTCAGTGTTTTGAGATTCTTCTGTTACCTGTTCCAGGTTGTGTTGCATGATTAGTATATATTGCCAGATTTTAAAAATAATGCAAAAGTTGTAAGCAAGTCAATAGTGTAGAGGACTTAAATAGTCAAGGCAAATCTCTCTATATGTAAACATAAAGAGAACAGAATAAAGTACAAAGTTCAATATATACTCTGGAGACTGTGTTAAAATTATACATTCCTTTTCCGGAGTAGCTGAGCAACATTTAAATGACACTTCTCTGTCCTACAGAAATCAAAGGAAAATACCAGAGTAATCTGTAAGCGCTGCAAGACAACGCTGGGAGAAACAGTATCATCAGGTATGGGATATACAAACCAAACTAGACTCGACTGCCTCGGCTACTGAGCGCTGGAGGTTAAAAACTCTGGAGGAAAATAGTTTATGAGTAAGATAAGGAGCTGATTCCTGCATATTTGTCTCATTCCCTTCTGGAATAGATGAGATTTTTGTTTCTGCTATCAGAACTTGAAAGTGACTTTGTGCAGGAACTTTCCTCATGTTTCTGTGGCATATTTGGCTATTTCCAAAGCTTTGGAAGACCAACAGCATAATTCCAGTTTATTAGGAATTCTAGTAAAAGAGATGATCTGAGAAATTACAGGTAGTTTCACATGGTGTCAGTCCTGTAGAATAATGGAACAGTTAATCCAGGACTTGATCAACAAAAAACTACAAGCTAAAGATATCATTAAGAGCAGCCAGCCTGGTTTCATGTAAAGTAAGCCTTGTCAAAGCATGTTATCTCTCGTTATCATGCGATGATGAGATTATTAGATTATTGATTTAATAGCTGTATTGAATCTGAAGTAGTTTAAAAATGAGTCTTGATGGTTTTTAAAATGTAGTTATTAACAGGAGAGTATCAGTGATAAGAGTTATTAGCAGGGATTTTCCTTTCGTTTTCCCTCTACTCCACTGCTCCAGTGTGAGGTCCAGTTCAGAGATCTGGAGGATATAAAATCTTTGCAGAAAATGCAAAGCCTGTTTAAGAAATAAATCACAAACAGGCAGAAGCAGTTGAAGTTGGATCAGGGTGGTAAAGCCATGGAGGTCCGGTTTGGTGCTGGAAATTCCCTTGGAGGCTATTTCTCCCTCAACTCTTATCTCCACACGCTCTCACCTTCCCCTCCCCCCTCCACCACAAAATCTCACCTTTTATCACTCTGTAAGCAATTCATCTCCTCAATTCCCAGTGCCCTTGCAGCAGCACCACTAATTCTTCAAGGTAACAGCTGGAGAGCTAGCATGAGTGAACTAGCTGCTGCTGCTGCTTTTCCTCCTTTCTCCCAGGACTGGGCACAGCATGGAGCAGACTAAAATTAAATTTTAAAGTGGAACATTATTTCTTAGCAGTGAGAGTAATTAAAAAGTGAAATACTTGTCTGGAGAGGAGGTGGGTTTGCCAGACCTTTGAAATCTTTAAAACAGTATTTGGTGTATTTGTGAAAAAGCTTACTTTCATCTAGTTTCAGTGGGCTGTGTGCGTGGACAGAAATCGGACAAGACAATCCCTTCAGCCCTTCAATTTTATGGAATTGATGAATCTTTCCTGTTGTCCACATGTTAAGACTTAGTGAATGAATTTGTTTTTCTATCTGCTTAATCTGCTGTACTGTTTGCTCTCTGGTTAGGCTGTATTTATTAGCATAAACTCAGAGCTTCAATATGATCATCTTTGACTTGAATTTACTGATAGGGATTAAATTGTGAACTCAAGCACTTACGCTTAGTTTTAAAGGCCGTCCTAGTGGAGCTTTTTGGGAACATTTACATTGAAGCTTGGAATGTATACTTTGTATATTAGTGTTGAGTTAGTGCAATTTTTGGAGAAGTTCTCTTCTGTTCTTTGAGCAAAGAAGAAAATTAGTCTTCTGCCTGAGCTGTTATTAAAACTGTCTCTTGTGATTCACTGCAGAATTACTGAGCGGCACAGGGTAGTAAAACACTTATGTGAGCTATGCTGATTTCAGTCTTTTAGGAAAGTTCTTTCAATTTGTCTTTGAGGTAGGGCTTGACAGTAACACATAATGGGTAAGAGTTAATTGGCACCAGCAAACATTTTAACAAATAAAATATTTCAGTCAAAGTATTTTGATTCTTGCTTACTTTGTTTCAAGGTGATTGTTCCTAGTGTTAAACAAAGATCAATACGAATGGCAAATTGCTGATCGTATAATTAACTCAGAGCAGTTTTCTTCTGGCGATGCGTGCTTTCTGTTATCGCTTGCCCAGCATCTCTTCCCACAAACCAAGACAGAAACTTGACCATCTGCTGCATCTCTTTAACTGAGTGCTGAACAAAAGTTTAATTAGTATGGTGAAATGGTGACTTAGTCTACTCTAAAAGATCGGTTCTTCTGCTGTACTTTAAAAATCTAACATTTATGTCGTTTCAGAGACCACTAAGTATTATGTCACTGAGGTGATCATTCGACCATCCAAGGAAAGTTTCAACACAATATCAAGGTAAAAAATAAAAATGAAAAAATAATTTAGTGAGGTTTAGATTTCAGAAGGATTCTAGAAATATGGTAAAAAAAATTTTTTTTTGAATAATTAAGTATAATAAAATGCTATTAAGCTTATGTAGTTATCACAGAATCACAAATCACAACACGAGTGAATTCAGACTACATTTGCACAATTTCATTTGCTTGTGTGTTTATGTGGATATAACACGGAAAGAGGTTACAAATCGCTTGTTGCAAAGTGTCTGAGTATTCCGACACTAAGCCAAAAAATAATTACTAATTTTGAATTATTTAAATCAAAATTTAAATTTTGATTTCTGGTAACTAATTATGCAAATGAAAGGTTACACTACTTAAGTAAAGCTTGACACTTTTTCTTGGAAGTGAGTTTTTTGCATTTTGAAGTAATCCAGTTTGAAGTTGTGACTAACCTGAAACAGAACTTGATCTAGCTATGTTGTATCACGTACTATGCATTAGTTACAGTTTTTCCCTTTTGCAAACTGTATTTGAGATATGGGCCATCGTTTTGAACCTTGTTGTGTTCATATACATAAAATACAGCAAGGAAAAGCTGTTATTCCACTTTTGACATTTGGCGTCAAAATAAAGGATGTGGGGCAGTGTAGACTGCTGAACTATTCAGAGCCCCTATTGCAGGAAAGGGGAGGTGCTCTGGTTTGAGGGCAGACAAAAACAAAGAAGAAAGCTCTACCTCTATAAAAATAGTTGTAGTATGTGGTGGAACGGACTATATGGTGTTGCTCAGATATTGTGCTTGATTGGCATGGGTGACTTTGCCCATGTAGCTGTTATCAAAACATATAATACATGGTTTATTCTTCAACAGGTCTCAGTTCATACAGAGCACGATAGCTCAGTGTCTTGTGGAATTTTCCCGTGCTAAAAGCACATTCAGATTCAGCATAAAAGGGGATGATGGAAAAGTGTATATTTTGGTAAGCTTTTATTTTGAAGAAATGTAATGTATGAATCCCAGCTTCCAAAACGTATTATTTATGCTATGCATGATTCTATGGATAAGAACATTAATAACATAAATTCTTGTATCTAAGCAGTTCTGAAGAGTTCATTTCAAGGAAGAAACTTCTTCCCTGTTTTTTAATCTAAGTAGTTGTACATGCAGAAACCTTTTCTATTTATATAGTTATGAAAGTACTATAGAAATGCCACAAGCAGCACAGAAACAACAGTGTTTTCTGCTCATACAGTACTGAAAGATTAAGGTTTTGGCCTGTATAATACGGGTCCCAACTACTTGTTCCAGTGCTTCTTATCTGTAATTGCTGAAGTCCATCGAATTGTATAGTACTTTTCACAAATATTGTCTTAAATCAGCAGAGTTTACAAATACAGGCAATACATTGCACTGCAAAGTGAAGTGCAAACAAAAACAAAATTGCCAATTATACTTAATGTTCTAATGCTGTTAGATTTCACAGAATCATTTAGGTTGGAAGGGACCTCTGGAGATCATCTAGTCCAACCTCCCTGCTCAAGCAGGGTCCTCTAGAGCACCATTGCGCAGGCTTGCGTCCAGGCGAGTTTTGAATATCTCCAGGGAAGGACACTCCACTGCCTCTCTGGGCAACCTGTTCCAGTGCTCCGTCACCCGCACAGTGAAGAAGTTTTTCCTCAGGTTCAGATGGAACT